TTGCTTAACCAACTGAGACACCCAGGCACCCCGGGGCACCGTGTATTTTAATTTTTAAATAATATTGGACTGGAAGAGTTTTTTATTGCTTCCTCTTTCTCACAGAACCAGATTTACACTAATGTGTGCCAACCACTACCTATCCTAGACCAGTAAGCCCTTACCACCTTGTCCATTTCTCCAAACATGGGTGCTAAGCTTGGTTGGTGCTTCATCCCTAGAGAGGAAAGAGAATACTTCAAATTTCCCCATCTGCAGTATAACCTGACTTGGGAAATACTGATTTACAACCTTTCTATATAGTTTTTCTTTATATTATTTTCAAAAGCCTAGAGAGTAGGAGATTCCATGCCCTACTATAGATTCCCATTACAATGTTTAATGGCTGTACTCATCAGGAAATTGCCCTTCATCTCAGTAAAGGTCCCCTTCACATAATGCTTCTCAACTTTCATTCTTAAAACTCTGTTTAGAAGTCTGAAAATCAAATTCTTCAGTGTCACTGTATGGCTTGCTTCTGAACTCTGTGTTTTTCCATTTTCTCCTTTGGATATTGAACTTAAATTGAACACAGGAATGGTCTGATGAGTGCTCATGAAATTCTTTGACTTAGGACACTGATACATTGAATATTATGCATAGTTAAATTATTACAGGTTATACCTTGATAAGAGCATCAACCACCTTCTTAAACATGTCACCAGACAACAGGCACAAAATCCCAGGTATGTGATGACACTTGATGTGTACCTATATTGGCTAATAAGTACATAGCCTGCCATGTGTTATAAATTAGGTAGTTACTTGACCCACACATTGCACCATTATCTTCACTCAAATCTCCAAGCTCATATTTGAACTCTGCCTCTGAGACTATGGACAGATGTACAGTGTATCTGATCAACATGAAAAAGAGACCAATTTTGATTGATATTCCAAGCTGTTAGGTAGAAATCTCCTACCTCCTGAAAAGTGATGGATTAGGCATTTTCTACTGGACCTGGTTCGGTAACTGGAAAAAGTAACAGCTAGAACTCCTCCCCTAATGTTTGCCGATACTGCCTTTTAAATACTGCATTCCATTTTATTGTATAATAACCCTATGAGTAATCAAATTAGGAAGCTGTTTGACAATGTCTTTTAAACACAGGCAAATGTTACTAAGTAAAATAATGAAGTTTACTTGCTCCTTTTTTTTTTTAATTTTATTTATTTGACAGAGAGGGAGAGCACAAGCAGGGGAGTGGCAGGCAGAGGGAGAAGCAGACTCCCCTCTGAGCAAGCAGCCCAATGTGGGACTCAGATCCCAGAACCCTGGGATCATGACCTCAGCTGAAGGCAGATGCTTAACGAACTGAGCCACCTAGTCACTCCCTACTTGCTCCTTTCTGATTCCTCCCCACTCTAGGAAAGGACTATGTGCTATTTTTTCCACCTGCCCCTACACCCATCCCCCTCCCCTCCTTTCTCACTTAAGACCACGTTATTGTAAGTCCTCATCCCACACACTACAGAATAAGTTCTAGGGTACTCACATGCTCACTAATTGAGCTGTACGCCCATGCTGAGGAAGTTTTGAACATTTGCCCTTATTCATGCATCCAAAGGGGCCTGACTGAGGTTTCTCAAAAGGTTAAACATGTAACTACCATCTGACCAGCAATTCCACTCCTAGGTATTTACCCAAAAGAATTCAAAGCAGGGACTCAAACAGGTATTTGTACATCAATGTTCACAGCAGTGTTATTCACAAGAACCACAAGGTAGTAAATTCAGCCCAAGTGTTCATCAGCAGGTGAACGGATCAACAAATGGGGAATATACATACAATGGAATATTATCCAGCCATAAAAAAGAATGAAGTACAGAGATATGCTACAGCTTGGATGGACTTTGAAAACATTATATATAGCGTTATGAGTCAAACACAGCAGGAAAAATATTATATGACTGCACTTATATGAAGTATCCAGAACAGACAAATTCATAGACACAGAAAGGAGAATAGAGGTTACCACAGACAGGGAAGAGGGGAGGAGGGGTTACTGTTGAATGGGTATAGAGTTGATATTGAGTATGATAAGATGTTTTGGGCATAGACAGTGGTAATTGTTACACATATTGTGATTATATTTAATGCCACTGAATTGTACAGTGGCATTAACTGTACACTTAACAAAGGCTAAAATGATAAATATTATGTTATGTATATTTTACTGCAATAAAAAAAAAATACTTGGGGCAAAAACTGAGCTCTCCTTGAGCTGTAGCAGACACGTGAGATTTAGGGAAAGAGTCACTACCCAGAAGTTAGGAGGATGATAACCTCACCTACATTTCAGGCCCACACCTATCCCCGAGTAGGAGGGGTAGCTAGAGAAGGGACCTGGAGGCTGAAGGTGTAATGTCCCCAGGAAAAGTCAGCTGTGGACACCTAAGAGACAGCTTTCAACCTTCAGGTCACCCAGAGCCTTCCCCACCACACCCAGCCAGGCTTCCACAGGGGTCATTGGTCAGGAGCTCCCCCCCCCCAAAAAATAGGGGGAGGCCACCTGGATGGCACAATCTGTTGACTTTCTTTTTTTTTTTCTTTTTTTTCTTAAAGATTTTATTTATTTATTTGAGAGAGAGAGAGAATGAGAGATAGAGAGTACGAGAGGGAAGAAGGTCAGAGGGAGAGGCAGACTACCTGCCGAGCAGGGAGCCCGATGCGGGACTCGATCCGGGGACTCCAGGATCATGACCTGAGCCGAAGGCAGTCGCTTAACCAACTGAGCCACCCAGGCGCCCCAGTCTGTCGACTTTCTGACTCTTGGTTTCCCCTCAGGTAGTGATCTCAGGATGGTGAGATTCAGCCCTGCCTCCAGCTCCATGCTGAGCCAGGAGTCTGCTTGAGGTTCTTTACCCCTTTCCCTCTGCCCCTCCCACTCCTACCCTCTCTCTCTCTCTCTCCCCCGCTAAAATAAATAAATCCTTTTTTCAACTAACATCTTCTTTCTTTTAATTTAAAATCAATTAACCTATAGTGTATTATTAGTTTCAGAGGTAGTTTAGTAATTCATCAGTTGCATATAACACCCAGTGCTCATTACATCAAGTGCCCTCCCTGATGCCCATCCCCCAGTTACCCCATCCCCCCACCAACCTCCCCTCCAGCAACCCTCAGTTTGTTTTCTACAGTTAAGAGTCTCTTATGGTTTGTCTCCCTCTCTGATTTCGTCTTATTTTATTTTTCCTTCCCTTCCCCTATGTTCATGTTGTTTCTTAAATTCCACATATGAGTGAAATCCTATATTTGTCCTTCTCTGACTGACTTATTTCGCTTAGCCTAATACCCTCTTGTTCCATCCATGTCATTGCAAATGGCAAGATTTCATTCTTTTTGATGGCTGAGTAATATTCCCTTGTATATATATATACACACTCCCTCTTCTTTATCCATTCATCTGTAGATGGACATCTGGGCTCTTTCCATAGTTTGGCTATTGTGGACATTGCTGCTATACACATTGGGGTGCATGTGTGTCAATAAACAAATCTTTAAAAAAAAATAGGGGGGAGAGAGAGAGAGAAAGAGAGCACGCACAACCTACCAGGCCAACTCTCATGGAATTTACATAAACATTTTTCTTTTACTTTTATTTTTCAAGTGTCAAGAGAATCAATTTTGGAGCAGGCAGGCTACAAAAAGATGCTTTTGTTCTCTCCGCCTAATCATATAGCTACTAAATGCAGAGGGAAAAAGAAAGCTTTGGATGGGAATTGATCCCCAAAATGTTTGCAATTATCTGAAAGGGTATGTGTTTTCTTTTACACACACCATACATACACACATATACATACATACACGTAAACACTATGGTTCTGTAGTCTTTGTACTTATTCTGAAATCTAAAATCAATTTTAAAAGAAAAACGAAGGACTCGCAGCCCCAGACAGAGCACAAAGTTAGTGATTTTTTCCCCCAGCCATGTCATGAGCTAGTGTTGCCACTTGTCATTGTTCTGCAGCCCCAGACAGAGCACAGAGTTAGTGATTTTTTTTTTTCCCAGCCATGTCATGAGCTACTGTTGCCACTTCTTACTGTTTTAAAGTAAATGCGGGTCAAAAAAATAAATAAATAAAATAAAGTAAATGCGGGCTTCCAACAAGTAGCTTTTACATTACTCTTATTCTCAACTACTCTGTAGAGAAGTAGAAAACCACCAACACATACTTTACTTGGTATAATAAGGGCATGCTTAGAATGATACCTGGAACGTGGGAGCTCTCAAAAATCTGTGAGATAAATGATGTTTGAAATGCAAAACTTCAGACGGACTCATCAGGTCCAAACCTCACCAAACAGATGGAAGAAAAGGCATTCATTTCACTTGGCGGGGGGCGCAGTCCGTGCTGAGCGGCTAAGGAGGTTGTGATGATGCCTCCCCAGCCCCACCCCGCCCCCGCCCGGGGAAGGGTTAACCAGACAACCACTAGGGACAACCACATCTCACTACCTTTGTCACTGAACCGACCTATTGTTGAAGCCCCGATGGAGCAGTCCCCAATGAGGCAACATCCTGTTTGAATCATTTAGGCCGGGCCCCAGGCCAGCCCACACAGCGCATCAGTGTGAGAGAGCGCCTCGCTCAGTCGTAACCATTTCCTGGCGCTACAGCCAGGCCAACCCGTTTCTCAAACACCCCCCCCCCGCCCCCCCCGGTTTACAGTCGGGGAGGGCAAACAGCCCCACTTACCAGGAGGCTAAATCTACGAAGCCTAGTTAGGCCACTGTTTCACCTGCGTGGCCAATTAGCTTCCTTCCCCGAGCCAGACTAGTTCAACAGGTTTCCTCGCACGCGGCCGGGGCCTCCCGGGTTGGGGCAGGAGCCCGTCACTTGGCTTCGGCCCGCCCCTTCCCTCCCTGGCTCGCACGCCGGCGCCGACCAATCGCCGCCGGCCGGACGTGTCCAGGTTGGCGGCCCCGCAGTGCCGCGCCGCGCCGGGCCGGCCTGGATGCGCCGAGCGCCTGAGCGCGCGCGGGGAGGGTGCGGGGAAGGCGCGGTTCGCAGGGCCTGCGCGCCGGGCGCTGGCAGCCGCTGGGAGCGGGGGACGCCTGAAGGTGCCCTCCGCACGCGGCCCCGATGACCGAACTCCAGCAAGATGTGGAAGACACAAAGCCGGCCAAAGTGCTCGCGAAGAGAGAGAGCAAAGTTGGCGCAGCCCAGTAAGTATTCTCCGCGGGGACCTAGCCCCGGTGGCCGAGAGCGCGCAGCCCAAACGTCTCTGCCAGGGACCGCTTTGGAGTGGAACTTGAGCGTGGACAGACGGCCCTGTGGCTGGAATTCTTTCGGGGGCGCCCGGTCGCTTTTTTTTTTTTTTTTTCTCTTTTTCTCTCTCCGATGCTGTGTAGGAGGAAAAGGCACGGCAGCCTTTTAGGAATGTACTGCAGCTTGCAGTCCGGTGGGGATGTGAAGGATTGGAGCTTTATCATTCCCAAGGGAGGTCTGGGGCAGGCGGTCAGATAGCTGAGGCAGGTCAGGAAACAGCGCTAAGGTTTATTTCTGTTGCCCTACTTCTTCGTGACGTGTGTAAAGATGAAGTCTCCTAGATGTCATCTGGTCGTTACCTGAACGGTGATGTGTGTTTTGTCATTTGATTCAGAGCTTCAGGGTGTCTTTCTCCCATCCCCTTCACTGTTTCCCCTCAAGAGAGGGGAAAAGTGGTGGAAAACATGAAATACGCTTTATCTTTCCCCCTTAAAGACTGACTTTGCTTGGGAACTTGATACAAACTTGTTAAGCACTTTTTTTTTTTTGAGAAAGAGAGAGGGTGTAGGAGTGGGGTGGGGGAGCACAATGAATATATAATAATATAAAACACTTCAAATATTGGGTTGTGACTGTCCTCTTAAAAGATACATGTTCATAATAGGATTTGCATATTGTTGGGCCTATAAACTCTTCTGGTTTCAGAAACTGAAAACTGAAATATTTGGATCACAAGGATTAGCTTCCTGTAATAAAACTTATTTACCTTCCCCTGTACTACTTTTTTTTAATCCAAAAGTAGTATTTCCATGATTGTTATTCCCAAACATTCTTGTCTGAAACAGGAAAAGAATCTGTCAGTATTCGCTTTTTTCTATATACTGTAACTTTAAGTGGTACTAAGATAAATATATAAATTGTTAAGATGAATAAATAAGCCCAATTTTTTTTTTTTGTTACCAACCTGTTGGGGGTACCTAAAAAATAGTTAAAATTCTATCTGCTTCATTTCAACATGTACTCATTTTTTATGACACAGCCTGGTTCCACTTAAAGACTGGTGTTTATAAAAGCATCTTCCATCTGTGTATCAGAGTTTGGACTGAAGTTTTGGAAGAAGAATAGCTTTTATTAGCTGCTTTGATTTATTATTTCAGAGCCTTTGGTCATATTCTCTTCCAGTGTCTGCTTTCCTTGGCTACCCTTTCTTCTGCCCCTCAAGCTTTGTCAACTTAAGCTGATACTCTTTCCTCTTCAATGATAGATAACACATGATTGAGGGGAAAAATCCCGTAGGTATAACCCTCACAAAATGTTTTTGTTTTCTTAGCCCAAAATAAAATCCTAACTCTATTCTAATCATTCAAGCCCAAGAAGGTAAACTAGCAAAGGACTTTTATCTCCTTTGCACATTCTTTTATAAGCTTCTCTTAAAAAGAGGCATTGTGGCATTCTTAAGCAGCCCTTGATAGATGTTTGAGGTGACAGGAGTGTTAAGGGGCACAAACAAGGCTGGAGCCCAGGACTGTGAAGCCCTAGTCCAGAAGTCAGCCCCAGGCAGTGTTAAGTTCCAGTTACACAAAGCAGAATGATTCAAGTACACCCAACAGCTCCTAAGTTTTTACATCTTCACATTCCCAATAGTCTGCTCAGTTAAGGAGATCACGTTTTAGTAGATGGAGAAAGTCTGTTATCTGTTTAGATGAATTCTCTTAACTTAAAACTCTTCAGACGTTGGCAAAATAATTTTATAGGAGATAATCATAACCATATTAAAGCGGAAGACCCCAAAGAGCCAGACCTTCGTTCGGAACACCTAGTTTGACAAATTCATTTTAGTTCAGCAAACATTGGGATACCTACTATGGGCTCCATAATGGTGGGGAATACAGAATGAAGGTGATGTGGTATCTGCCATTCTGGAACCCAAGAGCCGTGTTGAGGAGAGACGTACATATATGGATAAATAGATCTGTATCCATATATATCTATTACTGCGGGTCAGAGGACATTGGTGTCCGCGGCCATATTAAACCCATTAAACAAGATACCATTATAAAAGGTTTGGCCTATAACTGAATCCTCTCCACAGTTAGGATGTTTGCCCATTTGGCAATCTTTAGTAAATTTTTCTTGGTTTATGGAGATTTTGTTTGTTTTGTTTTGTTTGTTACAAAGTGGTAATTTGCTGGCCTGCTCAAGTCACTTCTGAGTCAGTCGAAGACTTTCGACACTCTCTACTTCCTGAGCTTTTGAACTCTTGCTTTGGTAACAGAGTAAGACTGATTTTAAGAGGGAGGTAGATACATTATCAGTGTTATATGTTTTGTGATAATTGCATGTTCAAAATCATTTGAGGAGCACAATTTTGATGCTTAGAAACCCAGTCTAACTTCTTTGTTTTGATCTTTGTAACTTTAATTATCACTAAGCTCAGAGTCGTTGGGAGTCCAAGGGTCCCTATGGACGTTTTCTTCTCGAGTGTTAGAATGGCTTGCTCTTCCTACACAGCCCTCATCACCTAGAACCCAGACTTGTAATTAATCATAGCTGGCTTTTACTGAGAATCCTCGCTTTACCGAAAGGCAGTGTGCTCAACACTTAACGTTCATTTTCGTACAGGATTAGGCAGATACTGTCATCTCCATTTTACAAATAAGAACATGGAAGGTCTGAGAAGTTAAGGAACTAGGCAGAGACCCAGTGAATAGAGGACAGCTCAAATTCAAGGCCGGGACTGCTTGCTTCAGAGCCTGAACCTGAATACTTTATCCCTACTTCTGTACTCCACAATCTATGATGGCCCTCCTGACCTCCTCTCCTCTGCCAAGAAGGTCAGACCTTTCATGATCTGAGCACACTTAAACCATTTCAACCTCAATCCTAATATTAGCATGCACATCTTTTATAGCTAAACAGTTGTGCTAGTGGCCCTCTCCTTAGGAGGTTAGGACGCAGAAGAATAAGGAACAGTATGCCAGATGTACTTCTGAGTAAGTTTCCCTTCATTCTCTCCTTCTCACCTCTGTACCTTTGCTCAAGCAATTCCCTCTCTTCTTTATCTCAGTATACTTCTACAAATCAGCTCAAAATTAGCTTCCTTTAAAGTCTTTCCTTGTCACTGGCCATACTTAGCTCTTCCTTATCCGGGCTCACCTTGCATGTATGTGATCGATCCCAGAGAATTTAGCTGCCACTATCATTGCTGTTAATTAACAGTAATGTTTACTGAACATTTATTATGTACAAAGTACTGTTTTAAGTTGTTAACAGATATTATTAACTCACACACTAGTCCAGAGTATATTAGTTAACCTTAAATTGATTGCAGACTCTGATCACATTTTTTCTTACTGAATTTCTCAGAGGGCCCAACAAATAATCTCTTCCGATAACCATCTGTTGGTGAGCAAGAGAGGCTCAGACCCCAGCCCCCTAATTAAGGTATATAATATACTTATAGCTGACATTCCACTTGACTATCTCCGGGGAAATCTTACTCTTTTAGAATTTCTTAATCAAATTTTCTATCAGTAACATTTAGAATTTTTAGGTACATTGACTTGCCCGAGAATTTTGACTTAGTTATTCATCTTTATGTTAGCAGTGAGGTGAGGCTGCCCATTTACTCATCACCAAGATGCATATTTGATTTAAAAAATACTCCCTTCCTTACCAAAAATTGTTAATTTAGCTGTATATTTCCTTTTGAGATCCTAGTTTTCCCCTTCCAGTACTTTTTTCATTCTGAATGTTATGTTCCCCATATATAGACATTTCTAACAAACCCTAACTTTTTTTTTATTTTTTTTTTTAGGTTTTATTTATTTGAGAGAGAGAATGAGAGACAGAGAGCATGAGAGGGAGGAGGGTCAGAGGGAGAAGCAGACTCCCTGCTGAGCAGGGAGCCCGAT